ACCCGTTAAATAATCCCCCTACCTCTCTCCCCCCTCTTTTTTTTCTTTTTTTAATAACAAAATATTCCAAAAATAATGAATGGTTTTATAAATGACCTTCATTATACATGAGGTTGTTATTATTATTTCACCGAGTGGTTTCTCTTTTTTTTTTAAATATAACTATTATTAAAAAAATAAAAAAAAATAAACCTTTTTTTTTTATAAATTTTATTTTATTTATTTATTTAATTATTTAAATAAAATAAAAAAAACTTCCGTTAATTAAAAAGGAAAGCGAAAAATAAAACTTTATATAATTTTATATACATATAAATAAATTTTTTTAAAGACTCATTTTGAAAAAGTTTTTATTTTTATTATTATTATTATTACTATTTGTTTTATTTTTATTTTCAGAGATATACAAAAGAAAAAAAAAAGAAAACTACACATATCTAAAGGTACTATAAGTTAAACATTATTTATTTGTTCAGAAAATTTAATTTTCTTTTTCTTTTTTTTATGTTATATATAATTGTTTTAAAAAAATTTTCCGAAAATTTTCAAACTTGATAATTTACTCTCAATAAAAATTAGGTTGTGTTTCCAATTATAATTTTGGCCACTTGTGAGAGCTTTAATGTATTCATTTATTTATTTATTTATTTAATATTCTAATTACACGATCTCTCCATTAAATTGGGGAAAAGATGGAAGAAATACCTTAATCATCTCTTAGCTATTAAACATTTGCACAAGTTTTAACTGATGACTGATTAGTCAATGGATCGATTGTATTCATCTACATATACATAATGGTTCTAAAAACTACAGATTGTGTCTGTTGGTCTATCAGAGTCAGGTATGGTCTAGTGTTAGTCAGGCAGAGCCAATAAGTACATCTATAGGTGGATCTAATAGCATTGATTTCTATTTATAACAAGTTGTATCAAGAATTACAATAAATTAGGTACTATGGTAAGTCGTTTAGTTTATTTTCAACAACTACGAGCCAACAGGAATAGGTACGATAGTGTCAACATCATTTCTCCAACAAAAAAATCATAATAATAATATTTATTTCAAAAAAAAAACTTTTTTACCTCTTTTTTTTTTTTAAACGTTTACCATTACATTTTATTTAGATTGATAAACCTTTTCTTAACCTTACAAAAAAAAAAACATTTAAAATTTAATGATAATTAAATGTGCAATTAAATAATAACACCCATGTGTGATTTTTATACAATGTATCACGACACACAGGCATTAAATAAAAAGA